GGGGGGGAGGGGGGTGGAGGGGGGGTGGGAGGAGAGACAACAGCAGTTATAAAACAAGAAACTCAGAAACCTTCTGAATATATCAAAGTTTCAAACGTCTGCCACTCTGGCTATGTGTGTGTGATTCACAATCTTACAAGCTTTCTCAGGTCGAAATTTCAGATGTTCATCCATGAAGCATTTTAGAAATAATGTGTTGCTATGAGAATTTTTTTTAAAGCCACAGGTTGATAATAAACCAAACCAACTCCACTGCCGTCGAGTCGATTCTGACTCATGGCGACCCTATAGGACAGAGTAGAACTGCCCCATAGGGTTTCCAAGGAGCAGCTGATGGATTCGAACTGCCAACCTTTTGGTTAGCAGCCAACCGCGTAACTACTGCACCACCAAGGCTCCAGATTGACAACAGACAATAGTTATTAAAATCTTTTACTATCAAAGGTATTAAGTCTATAGGGTCTGGAGCATGCATGTGACATGTGTGTGTGTGTGCATGCATACATGGCCTTGAGTGTGCCGCACATAAAACTGTGAAGAGTGAGAAGGGTTCCTAACCCAAAAGGACTTGCAGTCTAAGCCAAAGCAATGCAGTATGTAAAGATAAACTTTGGCACATCTGGAGACATTTTAAAGGCTCATAAAAGTAGTTGCAGTTTAAAGTCTTGACATCAGTCTGAAAATTTATTATGGACAAGATATCACCACTGAATTAACTGTAAATGATACGTAAGTAAGTCAGAGAGACCTGGGTTCAAATCCTGTCTTTGTTACCGGGTAGCTCGGTGACCTTGAACAAGGCATTGCACTTCTCTGAAATGCAGTTTCCTCCTGTGTAATAAGGGAAGAACAAGCCCTCACCTCTAGATATTGTTATGAGAATTTAAGTATTCATTTAAAGTGCTTAGCATAGAATATAGCCCACAGTAAGCACAGAGGAAATGCTAGCTATTGCTCTTATTAACTGGCTTGGAGTAAAGGGGAAGACATGACACAGTGTATCTTCCCTGCCTCCCCAGGGAAGGTGTGGGCCACACACCGACACCATGCTTGCCCATCTTCTGCTCTTTTAGCTTCTGTAGACATCGTCAAGTCTCAGGTCACGGGTGAGCCCTAAACACGAGGATTGAGTCTCCATTTTTCCAGACCTCTTCACTCACATAGACAGCGATAAGCATAAGCCCAGACACCCACTCCTCCCTGCGCCCAGGGCACAAAGCCTTGCCACCACCATCTACTTGAGGTCACTAGGTCTCATCTCACTATGTCCTTTATTCCTGCTCACGTCAGTTAACACATGCAGACACACCCACATGGATAAACACACATACACACACGTGCCCACACAAACACATTCACACAGCCACATGCATGCACACATACACATATGCACACACATGTACATATACATACACATATGCACATAGATACATATCCCAAACCCTGAGGTCTCCCTCACTTCTTTCACTCTAACTTCCATAAGGCTCTGCACATCTGCCAATTTTTCTCATCTCTCACCTCTTAACCTTTGAAATCCATGGTACACCATCAGCAAAATCCTCTACATGCCCAAAACCCTCTGACACTCACTTTGCCTACCTGCTCTAATTGAAACCTGGCTCTCCTCTGAGAACATGGCTTCTTCACAACCCTCTCAAGTGGCTGTTTTGTTTCGTCTTACAGCCCTTGCACCACTGACTCCTTGCTCCTCACTGCTACTTCCAGATCATTCTCCTCCTTCTTTGACCCTGAAATACTCTAGTTTTGAATTTCATGTCATTATTGTTACAGTCATCTACTACTTCATCATTCCCCCTCAAAGATTTTAGCTCCTTGCCCACTGTCCCTCTCTACAATACCACTCCCGTCTAATTCCTGGTAATTTCAATATACACACATATGAATCCAACCTCCTGGACTCTCAGTTTCTTGAGTTTCTCTTCTCCAATAAATTTGTCCTCTGCCTTGCCTCATTCACTGTCATAGACATGACCCAGACCTTGTCATTACTAATTACTATGACTCATCCATAATCTTGCATCCCCATCTCTGAACATCACCCTCAATCTTTGCACTCTCTCTAGTGCCCCAACTTCAACAATCCTTGGAGCCCAATGGGAACTCCAAGCCACTGATTCTTCCGGCATTTCACTGTCCCTTGCCCCTTCATATCCTTTCTTTCATCCCAGCCCATTTTAATTTCCATGGTCAATTATTATAAATTCTCCTTTGCCCTCAGTTATTTTGCTGTACTTGTTTGGCACTTCATGACTTCTCTCTGACCACTTCATGCCTATACACATGCTGCTGAATGGGGCTGACAAAAACCCACAAAAGCGCTAACTGGTCTCACTTTATAATCATCACCATGACCACCAACTGGGCCCTCAGCACTGCCCCTCCACTCCCCTAGACAGCAATTTCACACCTTCTTCCTCAAACTTCCAACACCTCTTCCCTCATCCTTACTCTCAATTCACACCTTTCTTTCCAGGACACTGAAGTAACTATTCCACACAGTCTACCAAAATCCTCTGCCTTCTAACCTGTTAGCCTAGGCAAAGTAGCCTTGCTCAACCCTAAAGCCGATCCCTTCACTTGTACACTAGATCCCATCCATCGTGCCTACTCAAGGACATTTTACTACTTTCTCTCAGGTATCATCTTTTTATACCTCTCTTGGACCATTCCAATCAATATAGATCCCTGCTATTAATTCTCTCATCTAAAAAAAAAAAAAATTTCTCTTGACTCCAGTTGTCCATCACCTACCGCTTCACTGGCTGAGCCCCTTTGTGGCAAAACACCTCAAAAAGAATTGTCTACACAGCCCCATAAAACAAAATGAGACTAATGGGGCATAACAGCCCAGGGACAAGGACTAGAAGGCAGGAGAGGACAGGAAAGCTGTAATAGGGAATCCAAGGTCGAGAAGGGAGAATGTTGACGTGTCGTGGGGTTGTTAACCAATGTCACAAAACAATATGTGTACTAACTGTTTAATGAGAAACTATTTGTTCTGTAAACCTTCATCTAAAGTACAATGAAAAAAAAGAATTGTCTATAGTCACTGCCTCCAGGTCCTCTCCCCATTCTTTCTTAATTGAACCCCTGCCTATCAGGCTCTTGCTGTCAAACTAAAATGCCTTGTTACCAAGGTCATATAACCGCCTCTCCCTAAAACCAATGGTTGATTCTCAATCTTCATCTAACTGAACCAATTAGCAGCACTGATACAGAAGGTCACTCCCTCCTCCTGCTTCCGGAACCCTACACTCTCGGTTTCCTTTTACATCACTAGTTGGTTCCTCTCTTTCTCTCATACCTCATATTAAATGCCGTAGGAAATTCTATTATGTCTATCTTCAAAATATATTCAGAATATCAACTCTTCTCACCATCTCCATTGCCATCACCCTGGTCCAAGTCACCATCACCCCCACCTGGATTATTGCAATAGCCTCCTAGCAGGTCTCTTTTCTTCCAACGCTGCCCCCTAAATACTATTCTCAACACAGCAACCAGAGTGATAATGCTAAAATGTTAAGTCAGATCAGGAATCTCCTGCTCAAAACCCAGCAGGGACTCCCAGCTACACTCCTTACTATGGCTACTAGGCCTGACACCACTTGTCCCCACTACTTCCCTCTTGCTCATTCCACTCCAACCATTCTGACCTCCGTTTTCCTCAAACTCTCCAGGCACATTTCCAGCTTAGTGTTTTTGCACTAGCTGCTCCTTTCTCCCCAGAATGCTCTTGCCACAGGTATCCACAAGGCTAACTCTTCCATCTCTTTCAAATTCTGGCTCAAATGACACCTTACCAATAAGATCTACCCTGACCATCCTATTTAAAACTTCAACATGCCCCAACTTGTGAACCCACTTGTCCTACTCTTTTTTTTCTACAGCATTTATCACCTGTTAAGATTCTACAGAATTAATTATGTATTATGTTTGTATTTGACCTACAATAAGTGTAGCAGTATGATCTCTAATTTGAGTTCTTAAAAATTTTGGTATTTGAAGAAAGGCTAGCTGAGAAAATGGAATTTTAGAGTGTTTACAATTGTTCAGTAAATATTATGACTGATTAGAGATAAAAAGATGCTCTTAGCCTCACTGGATTTTCTTCTTATCTTTCTTAATTCATTTCATTTTTTTCTGTATTACCAATTTAAATTACTTTTAGCACAATAACTCCTACATTTTAGGGTGCTCAATAAATGTTAGTTGAACTGTACTGAGTTCTGGTAAGCCAAATGGATAGTTTAGGCTTTTGAGAGTTATTACTGTTTTATATAAACTTCACTTAACAAAAGCATTACAAAGAACCACACTTTTGCCCCATAATTCACAATGTAACTAAATCTCCTGGAATCTTTGAGGTATATTTTCACTGTTCTCCCCCCTTGTATCAGTAGATGACAAGACAATAATTTAAACACGCAACGACACTTTTAAAAATGCATTGAGGGCTAATTCTGTTCTTCAAAAGGAAAACTAAAGAATAAGTTTTATGATTCCAGAATCAAGTTACATGTACACAATTTACATTAATCAAGGTCATGTGTAAAAATAGTGAGGGACCAATCCACTATTATAACAATCGTAACAACAAAGCAAGATTCAAAGCAAAAAAAAAAGAAAGGTGCTTCCTTATCTTTAGGAGACAGATTTTTCTTACAAGGTGACAAATATAAAGTGTAAAAATCAAATTAATCAGGAAGACTACCAGCTCCAAGAAATAGAGTCCCACTAACTTTAAAAATCAGAAAAACCAGTTGCCATCAAGTCAATTCCGATTCGTGGTGACCCCATGTGTGTTAGAGTAGGGCTTGTGCTCCATAGGGTTTTCAATGGCTGATGTTTCAGA